CACGTGATGCTTAACTTGCATTATTTCGACATCAATTTCACCTGACTTAGGATATTCCGCGAATGAAGCCGTGTTTGACGTTGCGAAATCGTCAAGTTCATTGCCTTGATTTTGCTAGAACATTCGACTGAATGTGTCTTAATATGGAAATATTTAATTTATTAATTTACTTTCAAACACAACAGTTGCCAGTTTTTGAAAAATCGAAAATCAAATAATGCACTTATAATATTGAGATCCCCTCAATTTTTTCCCATTTCTTTGAACTTCAAACTTCGTTGTCAGGAAATTTACTTGCTGTGTTATTATCATAAGAAGATCGTTGTTTTCCAATTATATGTCACCGATGCACAGAAAAACATCATTTCAAATTTCATTCCAGAAATTTTGGACTTTTTCGAATATTTTTTTGTAATTAATTCCACCAAATTATGAAAAAATTATGAGCGTATGAAACAGCAATACTTCCATTCCATTACTTTTTAATTTTATTTCGAAAATTGGATTTTTCAAATAATCGAACAAGTTAATAATTAACAAATAAAACGAAAAATTGATGTTTCATTCAGTTTCCCATTGTTCCCTTTCAACCCTTACTGTTCTTCTTTCATTTTCGTCAAAAATTCAAAAATGTGATTATTTTGGATTTTTGGCGAGAAAAAACAGAGAAATGGAAGAGTCATTTCCACTCTAATTGACTAGTGTTCTCTTTAAGAAATGACGTTGTGTGAATTTTCTTTGAATGAAATTTTCCCCTACTTTTCATTTCTCTACAATGTTTTTACAAGGAAAAACGATAAAAATGGAAAATAAATCACGATCCAATTTATCGCTATTTCGACAACTCAGTGATCGAAGTTTGCTTTCTGATTCATATTAGGTTGCTGCTTTATCCTCTATAAAATTAGTTAACAAGTTTTCCATGAATAATATTCAACTTTTTTTAAACGAGTGTTGATGACGAAGGAAGGAACGGGTGTGGACGCGCGCATGCGCAGGACCGGAAATTGATGTAATTATCTAATTTATTAATTATCAACTCTTCATAAATTCCTCAACTTTTTCAACGTAATTCCCAACTTAAAAATAAAAAATAAGAAATGTTCGCTAACTATACGCTGTGACCTTGGCCGGGGAATTAAAGATAATAATTCCCGGCACGGGCACGATGTTTCGAGATTCTGATATTCGGGTAATTTAGTTTAACGGAAATCAAGGGAGGACCTTAAACAATAAGGGCGACGGGGGTTTTCAATGATTATTCTTAGTTAATAGATAACTAAATTTGTATTTCCTAGTTGTCCGAATACAGAACAATACAACAAAATAATATTATAAAAAATATAATTTGGCCTTTTTGTATTAATATCTCGAGGGTGGGGGGTAAGGCCAGCCATCTTGTGGCTACGCGGAGGATTAACAGTAACAAGAAGGGATGACTCTACCGCTGAAACCAAAAAGGGGGTGAAGTGAGGGGTCCGAATAAAAAATGATAATGATAATTAGGAGGCTTTATTTACAGCAAAAAGACTTAACTGGAGGCTCACCGTTGGGGAGAGGGCCTTGCAGGGGTTTTGGTAATGTTTGTTGGGGCGGGAAAGGTAAGGAAGGGGACTCACGGGGATGGCGGCTTCCTTAATCCTCCACGAAAATGATCCAACCGATAACTCCTCTCGATGACCGTTCTTCCCGTCGTCACTCCTGAATCTCTCGTACTACTCCACGGACCACGTGTCCACTTTTCTTCCACAATTCTCCTCAAAAATGTCACTCCACAATGGTCCACAACTTCTCCTCTAAATTAATCTCCCAAAAAACCTTCGAAATTCTCTTTAAGACTCTTCCAAATCTCTCCAAAACCTCTTTGCAATAACTTATTCTTTCCACAGAGGCAGCTGTATAACGAGTGATGGCGTCGCATTACTCGTTCTCATTCTTCCTTGATTATCGGTGATAATCGGGGTCAATCGGGGACACTCGTCATTGAGTGTCCTCGTTCTAGTTATTAATTTCGGCGCTTCTTGATGGATGTCCTCTTCTTTTCCGGGTCACGTGGGCCGTGACGTAGGGATGGTGGGTTCAGTTGTTTACTCCGGCGTGCGAGGCGGTGAGGGGAACGGCGGGTTGGGGAGGGAGGGGGTTTCATCCATCTCTGCAGCGGTGCTACGTCTTGCTGGCGCGAGTGTAGGGTGGCGGGAAACGCGGGGAAAGGGGAAGGATGATCGCGGGAGTGGGAGCCAACGGTGACAGGTTTTATAACCTCATCGCGGTTGCCTCATTCTTGCTATTTGAGTTAAATAAATAATTATTAGGGGGCAGGGGTGGGGCTTGCAAAAGCGCCTCGTCACAACGCTTAAATTAAAGAAATGAATAATTAATTAACGAGATCTCCACACATTACGAAACTTACTCCCTACTTTTCCCCAAATTATTTCTTAATTATTTCATAGCATAATTAATGATTTTCATTGATTAGTGTGCCCGATGATGAAGAATGGAACGGGTATGCATGCGCGCATGCGCAGGGCTGAAAATTGATTGAATTTTTTAATTTATTGATTATCATCTCTTTGTCAATTGCCCAAATTATTAAATCTACAGAAATCGATTGCCCAAATGATTCCACGTAATTGCCAATTGAGGAAAATAAAAAATGAGAAATTTTCACCAACTATACGCTTTAATTAAAAAAAATGAATAATTAATTAACGAGATCTCCCCAAATTATGAAACCTACTTCCTGAATTTCCCTAAATTATTTCCAAATTATTTAAAAAGTTAATTAATGATTCCCATTAATTAGTGCGCTAAGTATACGGCTGTTCAAAATTTTCCAAAAGTTGAAAATTGCTGCTCGGTCCGCCCTCTGTCGGTATCGGTAGAACCAGTACTCAAGGATTTAAAAAAATCCTGCTCCCAGCTCTCATTAACAAACCTCAGGAGCCGCGTGAGCCTGATGAGCCCAGGTTGCCGGGCCCTGCTCTAGGTGATGGCTACGCTCTCCCTGGTAATGATCTCCGGGTGGGAGCAATACTTCCCTGGCGTGACGTTCTCAGGGCGAGAGTCCTACCCTTCCGGGATACGCTCTCTATCTTTAGGGGCTACCCTAGTGAACCCGCCGCAGCCTTGCTGGTGTGATTTTCTTCCCACGCTCTTGGCCTCCCGGCACTTCGCTATCGTACGTCGTGCTCTCGGCGAGATAGTCCTCGAGGTTAGTTCTCGCGTTTCAGACTCCCGCAAACTTGCTCTCGGTGTCCTGATCCATGCGCTAACCATTAGGCTATTGTGTTATTATTATGGAATTAACTTACTTGCTTATACGATGTATATTGGGGATATTGGTTCACTTCAATAACCGAAAATTTACTCATTAAAAATTCTACCTATTATACTTTTGCGAATAATAATCACCTTCAGTTCACCTGATCTGAACTTGATCCGAATAATTGCTGGGACAGAAGAATTTCAGGTCGGTTTGATCTAATCAAAATCTGATTCGAATAGTTGCAGGCAGGTAGATTACAGTTTAAATTCAGACCCACTTGAGCCGAACTTGATCAGAGTAATTATAGATGGGCAGCTGAATTTCAGGTCAGATTGACATGATCAGACTCTGATTCGAATCATTGCAGGTGGACGACTCTCAATTCAACTCCAGACCCTCCTATACTCCAAACTTGATCAGAGTGATCACTGATGAGCGAACCTCAGGTTCAGATCAAGCTCACCATATCAGAACCTGATCAGTGTAGTACGGATCAGGTTGGGTAAATCGAAGGCTGATCAGTTTCTTATCAAGTTCTGCTAATCAGTTAACACTGACTACCGCCATATCAAGTTCTGATCAAACCTCAGGCCCGCCTCATATAATTTCCACTTGGGAACGTACAGCGAGTAACGTTCTCGAGCTGCTTCAAATCATCATTACTTCACCTGAAGACGTGAAAGAAGTACATGACTTCCGACAGCACTGGCAAAGACTATCTTATTTTGCAAACAGACGCAAAGGTATTTCACCAACTTCGAGCATTTTTAGTGACATGACTAATGATATTAACCCATCATCAGAGTAACACAGGAAACTAGACGTAGTTTACCAAACTGACAGTAATTTCATTCTGTGGTGTCTATCCCTCTCAACAGCATCATCATAACAAGATGTCTATTACGAGTATTTTCCCTCAACTACCTCGTCGAGAGAATTATCATAGAGTCCATCTTCGAATTTTTCTCATCGTGTAACGCGTTCGAAATCACCCACTTAGAACGATCATATGTAAATCCTTAATTATCTGAGCGCGTTTGCATATGTTCTTAAATATACCGACAATGGTCGACAGTGAGATCATAATATTCCAAAACCTGGATTCACCCATCCTTTTTCTTGTGACAAAGTATACTAGTTTAGTTCACCTGCCGTACGACCTAATTTGTTTCTGACTCATATATTTATCATTATCGTGACAGGAAAATCTTGATGAAATCTAATTTTATTCTGATTATTATTATCTACACTCAATGCGGTATTGACCAACGATTCTCATATATGGTGTGACCTAGGAGTCAAAACAAATTCAACTACCAAATTATAAAATTCAATATATAAGACCCATATTGTACTTGTTATAATTAGTTACAAGTAAGAAAACTGAATATGTTGAGTATAAGAAGTATCTTTGCACTTGTCTGTGGCGAGTATCGCTCAAAGCGTGCTGCCCTTTCGTCTTGGTGTAATGGCTAGTTATAGCGGCGGCCTTGTTGTGTCCGTCGCTCTCATGCAGTGAGTAAGGAGATGTAATGAGAATGTAACGTGTTATTCAATAAAGCATTTATCTACAGTTACAATTGTTACAGTCTAAAAATTATTACTAAGTCCTAGTAGAATGTCTGATATTTCATATGATTTTCTATTTCTGGTAGACATTATTATTACATGACACCTCATAAAAGATATGGCTTCAATTGTTTTGGAAAAACTGATAATGTAAATTTTTCTACAGATGACGATCTTCTCGATGAAAATCGTCCTCGAGATGGTCGCAGAGGGCCAAAGCGTCCACGTACTATCCTCACATCAGCTCAACGGCGTCAATTCAAAGCTTCATTTGAACTGTCTCCTAAACCATGTAGAAAAGTTCGAGAAGCTCTTGCAAAAGATACAGGTCTGAGTGTCCGGGTCGTCCAAGTTTGGTTTCAAAATCAACGAGCAAAAATGAAAAAACTTCAGCGAAAAGCCAAAACTGATCCCACCGCAGATAAGGAACCGAAGGAAGAGAGACGCCCTGATAGCCCTCATAGTGATCATAGTAAGTTTTTATACAATATTAAAATGAAAGCGCTTAATGGTCCTTAGATACGTCAATTGCTGTAGAATTAAAAAACATTGATTTTGTTATGGGTATACCGTGTTGAAATCATTCATTAGTTAGAATGGAGATTGAATGAGTAGACTCGAGATCTCATTACCGAATTTCCCAGCATACACAAGGCCTTAAAATGACTATGATTCAAATAGCCAATATATAAATTTCACATTTTTTTCTCTGATTTCCTCATTAATTTTCGTCACTATTTCATTCAGCAATATATCATTTGCAGGTCATTATATGAACGCTATAACAATACGTGATGGTGAATCGTCTAGTTTTTCCTCAGCGACTCAACCACTCAACCCTAACAATCCATATTCTCCAGATGGTAAGAAATTTTAACAATAAATCGCTTAACTTTTTGAATCGTAATTTGCTATTGGCACACACCAATCATTAGTATCATTCAGATGAAGTCGAAAGATTCGCAAATCTCACGTTTGTAATCATGGCAAAGGAAGAAGAAAATTAGATGAACCAATCCGATTCCTTTAGACATATGAATTTTCTATAGTATTAATCTCAAAAGTACATTTTTCTCTCTAGACGGAGCGATTTCATTGCTCAAGTTCTAACTCATTATCTGAAGATCGAAGAGATCGAGGCCGTTTTCGTGTTTCTTCCGCTATCTTCAAAATATTTTTTTCGATAGCAAAACTATATACGGCGTTGCTTCAATGATATTTATTATTAAAATTTCTCACTCGTTGAACATCAGATCAAATATGATTTTTTCCCCTACATTGTTGAAGATTTCTTAAATGTTTGTTCACAAAGTCTGGAAACAATGCGAGTCGGGTTTGAAAACAAATGCAATTACAAGGAGCTGCTAAGTTTCTCCTTTATCCTAAAAATACAAGAAAATTCGATTTTTCATGTTGGAATGCTCATTGATTTTTCAATGAAAGCTTGAATTTTCCTGATACAGGAAAAATTGAACATCAAATCGGATAGATTGAGATTGAATTGATGAAAATCCCAGCAATTATTGGTACACTTTTCAATATCTTCACGGTTTTTCAGTGTCATGTGGACCTGCAAATTGAGATTCACCGGAATCCATCAGTAAAAAATCGACGATGATTGCCAGGCTTTTCCTGGGTTTCCTAGACTGAAGCCCACCCCCCACTTCCATGAACCATAACCTGGTATACTCAGTGGAAAGCTGATTAAATAAGTTTCAAAATTACACTAGACTCCTTCAATTCTAATTTTTTTCAGTTTTCTTGAGAAATTAACAATCATTGGATGTTTTAATGCTCTCAAATGGACTAGGCTGAATTATTCGTATATCATTTTGAAGAGAATCCATCACTCTTCCAAATGGTTCATGATAAATTTCACGTGAAATCATTTTCATTAATTTTGATCAGTGGAATTGATTGAGATTCTTTCCATTTTTCATGTTATGTCACAATCAAAAAATGATACTTTTTGCAATTTATCAATGCTCTAAACTCGATCTATGAAGACACGTTACACGTTTATCCGTAGATGTCATTGAGATCTTCATATTACTGTCCCATTATAGCCATTTCATCTACTAGATCAATAGCTATTAACCATAATATAGTCATCTGAGCATGTCACGTTTTGCAAATGGTTACATTTTTTCCGTTAGTTCATACGTAAAAAATGATGATTTTTGCTATGTATGGAGGCGTTCAAGTTGACCATGGAGGGCATATTGTATGTAAATTCGTAGATCTCATCGAGTTCATCGCATTGACAACTCATATGAGCCATTCAAGCCTTTAGATCAATAGCTATGAGTCATAATATAGCGATTTTAGCATGTCACGTTTTAAAAGTTCGCATTTTTCTCGTCATGTTTATGAAATTCGCTGTGTTTGTGTTTGAACCGTCGTGGATGCTTTATCCTTAGGATAAAAAATATTAAATTACTTTGAAATGGAAACGAAAATCATTTAATTCAGGAAATGGTCATCTGTCAATGGCAGTTTTTGCGATGAAGTTGATTATTGCGATGTTCTTTGTGAAGTTTGCTTAATTTAGGTGTTTCATATCTTGAATCATATTTATTGCTCCTCGAAATGGTGCATGGTAATTATTATTCAACGCAATTTTCATCCAGTTATCGCAGATTGTTGTCATTCTTTCAGTTACGCCACGCGCCAAAAATTACGGTTTCCGCCATGTTCAAGGAATTTAAACTTGCCGAATTCAAATATATCATATTTTGGTTTATAGATTCTATCAAGATCCTCAACCGCCAGGTCGGAAACCTTTCAGGTGTTTTTCCTGAATAGAGTTTCGGGTTTTCATCATGGAAGTTTTTCCACAATAATACATTTTTTTATGACCAAACAACATGGAATATTGGCAAAAGGTTATTTTAAAAATATTATAAGATGGTCGTGGAGGGCATTTTTGATCTAGTGGTTAGCGCGCTTGCCACGTGAACAAAACGTCCCAGTGTAGCGCAAGTTTCGAGCCCCGCTGATGAAGAGGGTTTTTTCATCGCCAGAAAACGCAGTGTGTGCGGAAATGTGTGGAAAAGTTAGTTATAAGTTAGCTTAGGGGCAAGTGCGGATAGGGAATTAGGCTGGAGTATCGCCTAGGTACTGGGAGGGATTAGTAAAGGACCACAATGGTCTTACCATCCTGCCCCGAGGTGGGCAACCTCAGCTGTCGGAGCTACTCCAGCTCCCGACCTCCATGAGGCAAAATTGTCGCAACCCATAAAGTTTATGGCTGCACCCCCTTTGGGCCCGTGATGCCGTGCGCGTAGGCAAGAGTAGTGGGGATATTCAGCAGAAACCTGGTGGTGGAAAAAGTGAAGCAGAAAAATGTTCTACTTCTCTAATGGAAATATTTTTTCAATTATTGTTTTTTTTGTTGGTATCCTTTTGATTGGTTATTGATTGCTTTTAATCGTCTTTATAAAAAAAGATTTTGTGCCTTCCATAGATTTTTTGAAGTAATTTTGAAATTATAATTGAAATATTGTTTGGAAACCAATTACTAAATAGTACCATGTTCTTAATTGAGTTGACTTGACATGCATTTTCAAACTTTTCTGTTCTATACTTCCCGCTCTCGATGCCAAATTAAAATGAAACGATTTCTCACAATCAAAAAAATTATCGGTGCTTCAATCTTTAATCGACGATAAAATATTTTCTTCTCCAGTTCACGAGCATCCCACTTTCATTTCCACCGATGAATACTGAATCTAAACCATCATCGTTTAATTTCATTTTTTTTTATCAAAAAAACAATATCCATACACGGACATAAAAATTCAAACCATTTTGGGCTCACATTTGAATCACGCGCATGCGCCATCGCTCGATATTACCCCCACCACACAAATATACGACCACCCTTGTAATCACGTTAGGTCCGTATAATTGGAACCTTAATAATTTTATAGCTACAGCTCCGCGCCTACCTGAGGTTGCCTCAGATCTAGCGCCACTCAATAGTAATATAAGTGCAAACAATTTATTTGGTCCAATCAATGGGATCATTACAATTTGGGATTTTCTTTTGTTGAAAAAATTATCGATAGAGTAAAGTGAGTATCCAAAGTAATTAATTCGCATAGAAGCATCAAAACCGTGAAACGCTCGTCCATCCTAGTCCGTTAAAACCTATCTGATTGAGCAATGAAGAATTCTGAAAAATGATTTCTTATTATTTTGTCGTTGTTGAAAATTTCAACTTTTCTAGTGGACGTTTTGAGGATAATTTTCCAACAGTCTACCTTCACAAAATAGCATGTTTCGATAATATTTCGGAATAGTATATTGTGCACAAAGGGAGGAAAACAGGGCATTCTACTCCGCGGATATATTACCACTCGAGGCTAAGCCAAGAGTAGTACACACGCCGGTTAAAATGGTTTAAATGAAAGTTCGATTTTTTTTTCGTAAATGGCGGGAGGAATGTGGGTTAAGTCATCTCGAGGATACACAAAAGCAACAGAAATCCGAGGATGAATAGGTCACTTTGATCCCGTCATTTGGGAAGCCAATGTATGGAACTGTGAACCAAGCACAACGAACGAGGAAAAGAGACGAGGAAACGAGTGGAGGGAGGAAATATCAAAGACAGATGAGTTAGAAGCATTCCTAGTTAAGAGTTTCCTCAAAACGACCTCAACAAAATATATGGTCGATGGGGGGAGGCAAATGAGCTGGTGGGAAGAAAAAGCCCTGCTTATCCTGAACGGAACAGTACGGGGCAATCAAGTGTATGAGACCTCGTTATAGTTGAATTAGAGGAAGAGGAGGATGGATAAAACGGCTCCAAGTAGAAGTGCCCGAAGGTTCAGACCACCTACCATTGATATTCGAAATAGAATAGGAACAGGAGAAGCAAGAGGTGCGGAAGGAGGAATGAGGACAAGAACGTCTGACATGGAACGATTCTCGACAAGATGAGTTCAGAGAGAAGTGGAAAAAGAAGTGGACATTCAGAGAACGAACCTCCCTGACATTAACAGAATATGAGAAAAATGAATTAAAACAACGGTTAAGGTACCATGGAGAAATTAAAACGATATAAAACGGCCGGAAAGGTAGAGAACGGGTCTGAAATAATGGAGAGTACACAGGGGATCGAAGGAGAATGGTTAGAAACCTGAGAATATGCAGAAAAAGAAGAGACTGGCACCACTACTCCAAATACAATCAATTCAAAAGACAGCTAAGAATAATCAGAACAAGATTAATGAATGAATGGATGAATGGAAAATAGAAAGAAGTTGCGGCAAGTAGAATGATGTCCGACCAGTGGTGGGTGATGAACTGTTTCTGGAGAGTTTCAAAGGGCAAAGGGAATACTGTAACGGACGAAGGGTGGGTGAACACTTCAAGACTCTGGTCAAAGTAGAAATTGCAAGGCCAGTAGGACAAAACACAAATAGACTATAAGTAGGAGGTGAAAACTCTGAACTTGAACCCAAAATCAGAGGAACGCAGCCGGGGAGGCAGGGAGAACAGGAGGAGACCACACCCGATGTGGTAGAGGTGGCAAGGGAGCAGGAGCAGGAAGCCAAGTCTCGGCAAGGAACCAACAGACTGAAAGATGTTGAGATTAATTAACAACCTGAAGAAAGGAAAAGCACGGGAACAAGTAATGAAGGGGCTGAATTCTATGAAAATCTGCCGAGGAAGGGGAAGAGGCACTCATGGAAATCATAAAAGAGCTATGGAAAAATGAGGAAATGATCGAAAGATGGAGGCTAGTAGCAATCTCGAAATGAAACAGGCGAGAACATGAAACGGGCGATGTCAATGTGGTGGCAAATTACAAAGAAGTCTCGTTAAAAATGCTAGGGTGGGGCTGGCTAGGAATAGG